ACATTTGCATGCATACACACAGCGCACATGCACATCATTACATTCGCACGCACGCACGCACAGCACATGTTCACCACACACACACATACAATATATATATGCACACATTTGCCTGCACATACATATATGCACACATTTGCACACACATACATATATATGCACACATTGCACACATACACATATATACACACATTTGCACACACATACATGTACCTGCACGCACACATGCACACACACACACACACACACACACACACACACACACACACACACACACACACACACACACACACACACACACACACACACACACACACACACACAACACACACATACACACACACACACACACACACATACACACACACATACACACACACACACACACACACACACACACACACACCACACACACACACACACACACACACACACACACATACACATACACACACACACACACACACACACAACACACACACACACACACACACACACACACACATACACACACATACACACACACACACACACACACACACACACACACACACACACACACACACACGTACACATACACATACACATACTTTAGCGCGCGTGCACAATTTCCTGCATCATCATTGGCAAGTTACATCTTCACAGTGTAGCTAGGCTAGCGACATTGCATGTAGATGGCATGTCTCTTGGTGAATTTGTCTGCAGATCTGCAAAAGGCACCACTCTAGATAAAACGCACTGAAGGAGTTTTGAAAAAATGTTTTGCACCAGTTTCTGGTTGTAAATCTTAATATTGTCTTTATGCCTTAAATACTTGTGTGCTATTCAAATCTCCAGTCTTTGTGCATTTCATCCAGAGTGAGATAGGTTTACTTGAGATATGTAAACACTTCCCAGTTTTTGCTAGGCAAACCCTGTTCATGTTACTAGGCTAGCCATCTCCCAATTCTGAGGAGTTTTTCTTACTCATAATGTTTTTAGAGTACACACAAAATAGGTTGAGATGAGGCTATAAATGGTGCCTGTAGTAGTTTTAATCTGAAGGTATCAAAGCTACTATGTTGTATAGGCATAATGCTGTCACATATATAATACTTTCAATGAGATTTGATTATGGTAATGTTTGTGGCTGAATATAGGGTAGATATTGATCACAATTTCATTTGTCGGGATTTGTGCAGCTACTCTGTATGTGTGTGTGTTTATGTATGTGCATATATTCCTATGTATTATCACCTCATTATTTATGGTAATTGTTTTATGTTTAATTTATTTCTTTTCTAATTACTCATTTTGTAATAGCATAGTTTTTATATCGTTATTGTTGTTTTGTTTGCGGGCACTTTGCAATTTGTGTTCCTGCTCAGTGTTCCTAATGGCTTCCCCAACCTTGAATTGCTTTCACCATTCATATTTATTTTTTCCTTTCCTTTCTTCTTTCCTGTTTTCCTCTCCTTTCCCTCTCTTTATTTTTATTTGTCTTTATCTTCCCCCTGCACTTTTTCTCATCTTTGTGGCTTCTCTCTTTTTTCTTGTTCCTCCTATTTGCCTCTGCCTCCCTTCTTCCTGCCCTCTCCTTTGCTCTCTCTGTTATATTAATCTTTGAGTAATGTCCTAATCATTTTGTTTTGTTTGATTTGTTTTTCTTGTTCTTTCTATTTAACCAACTAGCCCATCCCATGTTTACAAGCCAAATATATTTGTGTATCTATAGATTGTGGAAATGGTGATTTTTCCACCTATATTGATATTGAGAAATGAATTGAAATAGTAAATACTATTTTGTGTTAGTTTACTGAAGAAAAAGTGAATGTGTTCCAGATCTTAAGGTTTTAAGCAGCCTCATGGTTAAAAAGGCAGTTATTTCCTTTTCCTTGCTTTGTCTGTCTTTCCTTCTATCAGTAGTCAGATTCCCTTTTTCCCTTTTTTAGGTACTCTTGTTAGTTGAATATATCTGCCCCATTAAGACTGTAGCTTATCTTTTAGTTGTAAGGAATAGTCTTCATAGTTGTATCATTGACTCGTTAAAATCATTCTTTAGTGTTACTATAGTAATAATAGAAACTCCTGAGAACACAGCCAACAACCATTAACCTTGCCCCCGAACCTATATTCCAGGTGTTGACGGGTCACACAGGGTCAGTGTTATGCCTCCAGTACGATGAGAGGGTGATCATTAGCGGGTCGTCAGATTCCACAGTCAGAGTGTGGGATGTGAACACAGGCGAGATGACCAATACGCTCATCCACCACTGTGAGGCAGTACTTCACTTACGCTTTAACAATGGAATGATGGTCACTTGCTCAAAGGTAGGTAGTTAAAGTATTCTTATGGGAATCATCCAAAAAAAATCCTTACAATTGGTAACATAGGCTTCCTTGATTGACTTATTTTTTGGTTGGATAAATTTTTAAAGCAAATTGCATCATGGCATACCATGACTTCAGTGGACTAAGTCATAGATGGCACAGCGTCATGAAACTTGTGCCATTGGCATGT